GAAAGAATTTAAAAATGTGTTATGTTGTTAAACTCTTTTTTTTTTTTCCTCGGGATGCTCAGAATTGCCTGAATCCAGGAGGTGGAGGTTGCACTGTGCTGAAATTGTACCACTGCACTCCAGCCTGGGCAACAAGAGTGAAACTACATCTAAAAAAAAAAAATTTTTTTTTCTTTTTTTCTTTTTTTTTTTTTTTGTTGTTGTTACAGACAGGGTCTCACTATGTTGCCCAGGGTCTTGAATTCCCGGGATCAAGCAATCCTCCCACCCCCGCACCCCAAAGTGCTGGGACCACAGGCATAAGCCACCATGCCTGACCGCCTTTCTTTTTTTAAAAAATTTATTTATTAAACTTTAAGTTCTGGGGTACACGTGCAGATTGTGCAGGTTTGTTACATAGGAATATACGTGCCATGGTGGTGATTTGCCGCATCCATCACCCCGTCATCTACACTAGGTATTTCTCCTAATGCTATGCCTCCCCAATTCCCTCACCCCCTGCTATTCCTCCCTTGTCCCTCTACACCCCAGGCCCCGGTGTGTGATGTTCCCCTCCCTGTGTCTGGGTGTTCTCATTGTTCAACATCCACTTATGAGTAAGAACATGGATGTTTGGTTTCCTATTCTTGTGTCAGTTTGCTGAGAATGATGGTTTCCAGTTTCATCAATGTCCCTGCAAAGGACATGAACTCATCCTTTTTTATGGCTGCATAGTATTCCATGGTTACCACCTCTGAAATTCAAGGCTAAGATAATCTATTTCATCTGAGACTATGACACTAAACCACTGGTACAATCCACAAAATCTGAGGTCACTGCCACTTTACCATTTAAAAAAACAAAACAAAATTCTAGTGTACAATAAGTTCTAAGTAGCAAAGGAAATTTAAAAAAAAATTATTTTGGGCCAGGTACAGTGGCTCATGACTATAATCCCAGCACTTTGGAAGGCTGAGGTGGGCAGGTCACCTGAGCTTGAGACCAATCTGACCAACATGGAGAAACTCTGCCTCTACCAAAAATACAAAATTAGCTGGGCATGGTAGCACATGCCTGTAATCCTAGCTACTCAGGAGATTGAGGCAGGAGAATCGCTTAAAACTGGGAGATGGAGGCTGCAGTGAGCCAAGATCATGCCATTGCACTCCACCCTGGGCACCTTGAGTGAAACTCTGTCTCAAAATAAATAAATACATATTTTGGTAAAAAGAACATATACCTTGTATTTGGGTGACCCATTAAATATCAGAGTGATCTAACATTACAGTCATCTCATTGAAAACACCAAGAGGCTTATTGCAAAGGTGACAGACAACATAATTATTTCTTTAAGAAGAATATTTGCAAAGGCCAGGTATTATACTACTATGTGGAATTTTTAAAGTGGGAAATAAGACTGTAAGGAATATAAAGAAGTTTTGTAATAAGTGTAATCTATTTACAGAAGATGAATGAATGTGTGATAAAATTTACTGGAAGAGAGAGGAAAGGTCTAAAACATTCTAAACAGTGAGAAGTGAAAAGACAGCTCTTTCAAATATACATGGAAGAGGAATTAGTCTTCGCCTTTTTGTTTTCATGGGACAGAGCAATGAACAAAGGGTGACATTTATAGGGAAGTATGGTTTAACAGAATTTTAAGGAAAACATTTAATGATACTTATTACCTAATAAATAGCTTTCAGGAGGCATTATCCACTCTTAAAGGGGTTCTATGAGAGGTGAGGGACTGCTTCACATGCCTGCTTTCCTAATGTACCAAGCAAGAGTTGATATAAGATGACCTTTAAGATAAACATATTAAAATTTCTGAGATATAAGAAATTCTTCAGGGAAAAAAAGTACCCGTTACAGATGGTATGATTCAGGTGGTATCCAACATTATAGCTATTTTACTTGAGAAACTAAAAGGGTTATTGCTATTACTAACTCTTTAAAAAATGACTGTGGTCTCAGTAGAGGGCAGTTGCTAGGAGACTTCCTGAATTGTGAGTATTCAACCATGGAAGACTAAAGAAATTAGTGGAGTTTTATTTTAGACCAGTTTACTTACAGAACTCTGAGTGAATAATATATGGTGGATTTTTTTTTTCTAAGAAGTGAGAGAAGGAAGTGGTGCAAATTGCTTTAGAAAGAATAGCATATTTAGAGAAAAATATGCAGAGTGCGGTACAGCTGGTACACCACAGAATCTAAATCATTTGTACTTCCTTTGTGGGAGGAGAGTAGAAGAGGGGGAAGATACAAAGAATATGAATGTAGGGTAGTAAAGGGAAGAGGAGGTGGAAAGGAATGACAGAGGAGAGCATTAATACATATTTTTGGGTTGAGGCAAGATAATTTGTCTTTTTGGTGGCTTCAGTGATTTTTTGCCTTTATTCTCTTTTTGAGGGTTATTCTGCTTGCAGATTATTATAAATGAATCATTTTCTTTCATTTCCAGATTCAATTTGGCAGTTGCCTTGGAAGTACTAATTATGTTTTCCTTACATAAGAAAGGAGAGACCTATTACTATTGAAGGTTCTTTTTTTTTTAAACTATGCTTTAAAACTCAAAACAGTTAAGGATTATGTCACAGCTATTTTTGGAATCATTATATCTACAATAAATATCAAGAAAATGGTAATGAAAGAGTGTGGTGCCTGGAAAATCCTTTGACAGAATTATTTAGATCAAGGTTGTTATTTTTTAAAAGAATTTGGAAATAAAACAAAAAATTTAAACAGAACTTCAAGAAGTAAGCACATAGCATTTACCATGATTGTACAATAGCAGCAGATGAAGAAATACCGGGAGAGCTGCCTACAACCAAACTCTTACGGAACCGTGCATCAAAGGTCAAACCAGCAACTAGCTAAGACAGTCATCACTTGATAATGAAACTGCCCTCTTCATTTTTCAACTTAGCATTATGTACAATATAGTTATCACAATTTATTCTATTCTCAAGACAACATTTCAAGCAATAAAGTTTATATTCCAGAGAGAAGTTGTTCAGGTCTTATATCTAAATAACAACTTTTCTCGTCCAGAAGATAGAAAAACATCGTAAGAACAAATTTTTACATTGAAAACAAACAAGCAAGCAAACAAACAAAAAAAATCGGACTTTCTTGAGAATGAAAGCAGTAGTGGCTTCAGGTGGTAAAGCTCTTAACTTTAATTTTGGCTAACGTCATTAATGGTGTATTTTGTATTTTTTGCCCCCCCTGTTTTCTCATGACAGAGTTCCTTCCTGAATACTGGCTACCGCCTGGGACACAGTAGGTGGGCAGCATGTACTTATTAAAAAAGTAATTAATAAATGATGACGAATAAAGTAGGAAAGGAAAGAGCTGACTGACAAATTCAAGGAAACTAATGAACACACCTTGCACATCAGGCAGTATAGCTTGGTGGTGATGAGTGGTCCTAGCCAGACTGCCTCAATTTGAAACCCAGTTCTGTCCATTATTAAATACATGATCATGGGCAAGTCAGTAAACCTGTCTACACCTCGGTTCCTTTTTGCTTATATAAAATGTGCTGCTATGAGAAATACGTTACATTACAAAAAAAAAAAAAAGCCTTTTATAAAAGAACATGGAACTTAGCTAATGCCAGGTCAATGTTGGCTATCAAGATTATTACAAAGCTCTTAACTAACACAAAGCTTATTTTACCCAAAGGTCGTTGGTGACTATGAAATTAGACCACTGGGATAAAACACAAGCTCTCTAAAGCCAAGGGAAGTAGGTACAATAAATACAAAATATGGAGGTTCAACCTCTAAAACTTGCATGAGTCATAAAAATAATTTTCTGTTGAGATTGTATAGGCTGATCCTCCCCAGACACTTCTCACAAAACTGTTGGAGATAATGGATCATTGCAGACATAGATTAGAGGCCGTTTTATAAGGGTAGACATATGATTAGACAGATATGCTAATCTTACTTGAGAGCTACCTATGATTAATTTTCAATATTTGATTATTATCCTGTAGATTCTGGCATACAACAGTAAATGGACATAAGGCAGTTTTATTAACACAGTCCCAAATACTTTGCTGCTTACAATTGCCTTAATTTTGCTTTAGGTTATCATGTAACTCCATGGTTCAGAAAGACTGGCTGTGTGTCAATGTCAGTTACTGCCTAGGACTCCTGACGCATGTGGGAAGCTGGCAAATGAAACAGCTATAACTCTGTCTAAGGGAAGGAAAGGATGAGATCCATTTACACATGTAGGACAACTCAGACTATAAATTCTTGGAAGTCAGGTGCTGCGTCTATACTGGTTGTACAAAGGACCATGAAGTAAGCCAGGGTGTTGTTTCTTTTGTTATGTAAACCCCACCTCTCCAGCAGTCTATAAATAGCAGTTGCTCTCCCTAATAGGAGACACATTATATTGGAAGAACAAAAGATAATCTCTATGCCATGTGTCCCTAAGAAAATTGATGAAAATTTAGATTTCTGTTTTGAAAATGTCAACAAAACAGATACATTGTCCATGTACTTTGAGATCTCTTACTCATAAATCTGCTGTCTCTTCTCCATTTTTGCCCATCGTCTAAACTGTGGACCCCTCACAAATTCATAAATTGAAGCCCTAACCCATCTGTGACTGTATTTGAGGATAGGCTCTATAGATGATAATTAAGGTTAAATGAGTTAAAGATGGGGCCGTAATCCAATAGGACTGGACTTATAAGGGGTGGATTTACAAGAAGAGAAAGAGAGAGAGAGATCTCTCTCTGCACAAATACCTAGGAAAGACCATGTGAGGACACAGTGAGAAGGTGGCCGCCTGCAAGTCAGGAAAAGAGCCCTCACCAGGAACCTAACCGGTTGGAACCTTGGACTTTCTAGTCTCCAGAACTGTGAGAAAATAAATTTCTGCTGTTTAAGCCACCCACCCTATGGTATTTTGTGATGGCAGCTCGAACAGGGACAGTCATACACTGGAAAACAAGAGCTTTATAAATATACAAACAGTTTTGCTGGAGTCATACTCACCATTAGTAGTCTATCTCCTACTTGTAACCTTCCATCTTTTTGTGCAGCTCCTCCATCTATAATTTTAGTTACATAAATGCTGTTGTCTCCAGGAATGTGCTGGTTCCCCACACCTCCTGCAATACTGAAGCCTAAACCTATAAGAAAGGAATAGAAAATGGAAAGCCTTGTTTTGCTGCTGTAGTTGTTTTTAGAAAATGCAGTTAGCCATATTTTAACTGTTTTTAAAAATGAATCCTCAACTTACTGTAACAGCAATAAACGACAGTAAAAATTTTATTTTAATCTAGTTTTTTCTTTAAATATTTGAAGGCTTTTTGATTCATACAAATGAGGCAAAGATTTTGAAGTCAATCCATGTGAGTAGTTTTGTTCTATTTCTAGACTGTATACCTAACTGCTGTTCCTCAGCTATCCTGTTTATAAGGGTAACTGGCCAGAGCAGGGATCAGGCAAAGGGTGTGGAGGGACCCTAGATGAACTGGAAGAAAGACAAATATGGTGCTGCTCATTGCTGAGTTTATAGGCTCATCTTCATTGCTGTTGTTACTCTAGCATAGAGAACAGAATTACTGTCAATCATGTGGGCAGAGACCTGGATATTCTTGATATTTCAGGATGAAAAATAAAATTATTCAAAAATTGCACAAATTGTGAGGCAAGAGCCATGAAAAGCTACACTGGACATATATGTAATAATTTCAGAGAAGATAAGGAGAAGAAGATAGATACTTTTTCGTTTCATGTTTTCTTCTCTTGCCACCTTGTCATTTTATATTTCCTAGCATTTATTGTTATTAACTGATTACCTGATTGTGAGGTTAGTCACACAAAAAAGTGAATTATTCCTGTATACAGTCTAAAAAATAAAAAGATTCTCTAAAATATTCTATTGGAAAATAAAGAATAAAAAAATGTTTGTTTATTTATTTATTTATTTAGACAGAGTCTTGTTTTGTCACCCAGGCTGGAGTGTAGTGGCACAATCTCGGCTCAGTGCAACCTCTGCCTTCCAGCATCAAGTGGTTCTCCTGACTCAGCCTCCTGAGTAACTGGAATTACAGGTGTGTGCCACCATGTCCAAGTACTTTTTTGTATTTTTAGTAGAGACAGGGTTTCACCATGTTGACCTGGCCGGTCTTAAACTCCTGACCTCAGGTGATCCATTCACCTTGGCATCCCACAGTGCTGGGATTACAGGTGTGAGCCACCACACCCAGCCAAAAAATTTAAAATGTATACTTAGACTATATTATTTTTGTAAGATGACAAAATATCAAATCAGTTTAAACATGGCAATTGTCTATTTTAAGGGAATGATTTTTACTGTACTGTGGCTTATACAATTTTAACTATTATTAAACTATGAAGCAATAACAAGAATAGAGTTACAGTCATGCACTGTATAACAATGTTTTGATCAGTGATAGATTATATATATGATGATGGGCCCAAAAGACTACAATGAAGCTGAGAAATAGCTATTGCCAGTGACGTCATAGTCATTGTAACATCATAGCATAATAATTACTCAAGTGTTTGCAGTGATGCTGGTATAAATGAGCCTACTCCACTGCCAGTCACATATGTAAATGTATAGCATATACAACTGTAAACAGTAAATAATACTTGATGATAATAAATAACTATGTTGTTGGTTTATGTATTGTACTATGCTTTTTAGTTATATTTGAGTTATACATTGAGTGTTATATTTGAAAACAGCCTCAAGCAGCCCTTTCAGGAAGTATCCTAGAAGGCGGCATTATTATTACCAGAGATTACAGATCCATGCTGTAGCATTATTTTACATACTATTGCTCCTGAATATCTTCAGTTGGACAAGCTGTGAAGGTAGAAGACAATGATTTTGATGATCCTGACTCTGGGTATGCCTAGGCTAATATGTGTATTTGTGTCTTAGTTTTTTTTTGTTTTTTAAGTTTAACATATATATATATATATGTTAAACATATATATATATATATGGAGTAAATGAAATGCTTATAGAATCAGAATAGAAAAAAGAAAATACTTTGTATAGCTGTACAATATGTTTGTGTTTTAAGCTAAGTGTTATTACAAAAGAGTCAAAATAAAGTTCATGAAGTAAAAATGTTACAATAAGCTAAGGTTAATTTATTATTGAAAAATTTTTTCATAAATGTAGTCTGGCCTAAGTGTACAGTGTTCTCAAGTTCTACAGTAGTGTACGATAATGTACTAGGACTTCACATTCACTCATTACTCATTCACTGATTTACCCAGAGCAATGTCCAGTCCCACAGGTCCCATTCATGGTAAATGCCCTGTACAGATGTACCACTGTTTATCCTTTATTTTTTTACTCTACTTATTCTGTGTTTAGATATGTTAAGTTACACAACTAGTTATCATTGTTTTGCAGTTACCTACTTTACGCAGTCCAGTAACATGCTATACAGGTTTGTATCCCAGGAGCAACAGGCTATACTACACAGCCTAGGTGTGTAGTAGCCTACACTGTTTTGGTTTGCATAAGTACACTCTATTATGTTCCCATAACGATGATGACATTGTCTAATGATGTATTTCTCAGAAGGCGTGCCCATCATTAAATGACACATGAATGTATTTTTAAAATTCATTATGAGATCATTTTAAAGGAATAATTGATACCTTTAAGAATTTTTAAAAATCCCCTTCAGAATATGATTGAATACCCATTCAGTATAATACTTCCAGCATACATTTTCTTTACATTTTACAATCGTAACATGCAAATTACTCAAGAAGATAGATATTAATCAAAGGCCTTCTGACTAAAAACAAACATAATTTCTATAGCTCACTTTGCTTAAGATTTGTTTTTAAATCACACACCTAGTAAAATAATAAAGCTATAATTAACATTTTTGGCATTTTACACAATAATAAAAAATAGTTTATTAACTTTCCTTCACTAAAATATTAACTCTGTTCAATACTTTTATTGAATAAATATTGGGTAAGGCTATGTGCTCTTAAGATAGCATAAACAGTTAATTGAAAATGATGGCATAGTAAATTATAAAGCAACATCTCTGGAATTATATTTGAAATGCAATGATTGTTAAATTAACCATAATAGCTGTTAAAGAATAAATGGAAAATTGATTTAAATTGATAGGGCAATTAAAGCAAGTGTTATCTAATTTCCTTCTGATGTGGGTAATTATTTTTATTAATGCTTTGCCACCCTATGGAACCATGAATATATTTGTTTGCCTCAGATTTACAACTTGCTTATTAAGCAAATGATGACAAAAGAATAAAATGTCCCAAATTGGCTTTTCCTGTAAAATTTAAAATACATATCAGCTCCTGTTTCCCAAAACATAGGGAAGTTTAAAAAATATATTTACAAAAGTTTCTTAGCCACATGCTAAGATCAATCTATCACATTTATAAAAGTACAGAGGTTATTCCAAACTCTGAAAAGAGAAGGTTAAAACAAATTCAGACTCCGATTTATAGCCACTACACCAGCAGTAAATGCCACAGAGTCTTAGTTACAGAAGAGCTATAGAAACAAATTATCACTATAAAGATGGTTAAGTCCAACAAAAATGGCAAGTTTATAGTTGACATTTGAAGTTGAAGACTGCACAAGACAATGAAATCATTATGGATACTGTAGATAGCTAGCTAGCTAGCTAGATAAAAAATGAGTAACATTTTTTGTTGAGATTAGGTTTATGTACTTCTTTTAAACTAGTGACTCTGTTCAAGGTGAAGCAAGATATTTTTAGCAAATGTCCCTCTCAGAGCCAGAGATGTTTCTGAATGTACACAACTAGTAATTTTTCCAATTTCACTTACTTTCATGTAACATGCATGTGTTTAAAAACAATTAACATTTAATTACTAGTTAATCATATTCTAAATATTCAATTCAAGGTGATAAATGTGTAGTTTATATCTGCATCCAAATATATGTTTATTTATGGGTGGAAGTAGCCATCTGTGCTATAAGACTACATCTGTCCTCATTCATTTATTCATTCACACATCCATTCATTCAATAAGCTTCTCTGGAGTACATACTATACATTGTATTACCAGCTGCTATTGAGCATGGCCAAAGTAAATGTAAAGGAATTTTTTTTTCCATTTTTAATTTTTAGTTGTTATGGATACATAATAGATGTTAATAGGGCACATGTGATAATTTGATACAAGTATACAATGCGTAATTATCAAATCAGGATACTTGGGATATCCATCACCTTAAATACTTATCATGTCTTTGTGTTAGGAACATTCTAATTACACTCTCAATTATTTTTAAATATACAATGCATTATTGTTAACTATAGCTACCCTATTGCACTACTGAACACTAGAAAGATCTATTTCATTTATCTAACTGTATTTTTGTATCCATTGACCAGAAACACTATAAAAATAATGATCCATAAGCAGGTTCGTATGAGTGAGTATATTTGAATATGTCTGAAGCAATGTTCTAAACCCAGATAATGCTAGTAATTTTTGTATAGCTACTCTATGAACACAAATGTGGGCTCTCACCACTGAGCAATAAGACCAAACACACATTATCTGGGTGTTTCTTGCATAGACTCTGTTAAAGCAGGGGCAGCCTGGCTATCTTATAAGGCCTAGACTGGCTAAGACTCCCCAACCTGTTACTACTCTCCCATCCCTTCTCTTCGTTAGCTAACTTTTCCCTCTTTCATTCCACCCTAAACACACTTGTGTCCATGATATTTTTATTTTTATTTTCTCCCTTCAACTTTTATTTTAAGCCCTGGGGTACATATGCAAAATGTGCAGGATTGTTTCATTGGTAAATGTGTGCCATGGTAGTTTGCTGCACATATCAAACCAACAATTTGTATTAAGCCCAGCATCTATTATTCCTTCTGATGCCCTCTGTCCCTGCTTCCCTCTCCCTGACAAGTCCCAGTGTGTGTTGTTCCCCCCATGTGTCCGTTCGTTCTCATCATTCAGCTTCCACTTATAAGTGAGAACATGTGGTGTTGGTATTTGGTTTTCTGTTCCTGTGTTAGTTTACTGATGATAACAGCTTCCAGCTCCATCCATGTCCCTGTAGAAGACAAGATCTCATTCCTTTTTATGGCTGCATAGTATTCCA